AATCGACCGTGAGAAACCACCAAGAAAAAGAAAATTTTACAAAAAACATTTCGATCTCTTTAGAAGACAAAGATTTTCGAATGAAATATAGATTCAGTAAAATATATATGAGAAAAATAGTTTAGTTAGTTCAGCGTGACATCGAACTACAAGCTAGTGGTGGCGGGCTGTCTGTAGAACTTCAGGTTTGTACTGCTTTCAGAACGTGGGCCAGCAACAGACATTCATGTCAGGACAGGATTCATGCAGGACTTAGCCAACAGACCATCACGAATATATGCCAAAGAGTAGCTCTTGCTTTGGCAAGTAAAGCGGCACAATTTATACGCATGCCTAGTACTTTAGAAGAGCAAGAACAAGTGGTTTTTAAATTTAGAAACATTTGTAGCTTTAAGCAAGTAATTGGTGCTATCGATTGCACGCACGTAAAGATTAAAAATTCGGAGGCGATAGTGCTCAATATTACATAAACGGAAAGAGGTTTTCTCCTTTAATGTTCAAGTAGCTTGTGATGCTCAATTAAAGATAAAGAACAAAGTGGCACACTGGATGGGCAGCACACATGATGCAAGAATATTCAGAGAAAGCCGAATCCGACAACGATTTGTAAATGGGGAATTTCATGCTCGTTTACTAGGGGGTTCTGGCTACGGTTTGGCAAATTATTTGTTTACACCAGTACAGAATCCTCGTATCGCTAAGGAGAAATCTCATAATAAATCGCATATATTGACAAGAAATACAATTGAAAGCTGTTTCGGAGATTAAAAACAGAGTTTCCGATGTTTATTACGTGGGTTTAGTGTGTCACTGGAAAATGTAAAATTATACATTGTTGTGGATACAATATAAATCAATATAGTCATTGAAATAAATGAAGGCATTGATTTGATGGAACCAGTCATATCTGAAGATAATGGTGACCAACAAATTCTAAGGGAAGGTCTTGATAGCCGATCTAGTCAAGAAACAAGGAGATTAGTAATTGAAACACACTTTTAGTTACAAAAATGCTTTATTGTGGCAATTTTGATTTAAAAAAATTCTAATTCAAGTTTTTCAACACAAAGCTTCGTTTCTTCTTTTTCCGAACAACTTTGAAACACCGAACTATAAAAATTTGCAAGCTGCTAATGCAGTTTTAAATTAATTTTTGTTTTGAACTTTTCCGATTCACATTCGGTTTTTTGTCTCCCAAACACCAGATTTCACTTATTTGCAGGCTGTAATACAGTTTTAGATATTTTTGTTGTTGTATGTAGTTTTGAGTGCTAACTGAGAAGGGTTTTATTTTTTAACAGACTTCAAAAAAAGGATGAGGTTCTCAATTCGACTGTATGTTTTTATGTATGTATGTTACTCGATTACTCCGTCAATTAATGATAAATTGATTGATTATTTTTTGTTTGGTTGTTAAGTTCCAGAGGTAGTCCCATATAAACTTTATAAAAATTAGTTCATTATGTTTTGAAAAAAATCAAAAAAATCATTTGATTACGCCGTAACGCCTGACAAAAAGCGAGCAAATGCATGTTTGGATGTTTTAATTTCCATTATGTAGGTATAGTTTCGAAGACGGTTGTTTTTTTAAATTATTAAACCTGTACTGCATCAATTACAAATAAAATCAGAAAATTAACTAAGAATATTTATATTTATTTCAATCGCAATAACTTCTACTTACAGAGTTTGGAACATGCAATAATAATATTTTTTCCTAGAAATGATAAATATTCTTCTAATGTTAAAAAATACTTTTGTGTTCACCGAGGTACAAAAGCCAACGTTCCATTGTTTTAACAGATAAACATGTACAGTCTTGCAGCGCAACTTGTTGAGTTAACACGTGTTATATTTTCGATATATTGGTCGGTCGCAGTTTTGAATCCAGCTTACTTTTGGACTTGCGCCTATTTTTAACCAAGAGGCTCTCCTGAATACGACAAACTATATAATCTGAGACCCCGCCTCACAAAACTGATCAAGGTTTATCAGGAAAAAGCATTAAATTCTAAAGTACAATCGATTGATAAATGTGTGGTGAAATTTAAAGGTAAAAGTTCGTTAAAGCAATACATGCCAAAAAAACCATTAAGAGAGGATTTAAAGTCTGGGCAAGGTGAGATGCAAAAACCGGGTACTTGTACCAACTCGAAGTCTATTCTGGAAAAGGCGACAGCGCCGAAAATGAAGGATTATGCTACAATGTTGTCATGAAACTCTGCAGTATTTTACCAAAAAATACTTTAGTTACCTTTCATAACTACTTTAGGAGTTTTAATCTTATGGAAGATCTTTATAATTAAAAGATCTATGCAGTAGGGACAGTCAGATGCAATAGAAAAGACCTACCTGATATAATAAAGAAGAGGCAACCAAAACCATTGCGATTGGAACAACAGCAGATTTCACTGTTGAGCCAATCACAGCCATTAAATGGCTTGATACAAAAGAAGTTGCTGTACTGGTGACAGCCCATCTGCCACTAGATACAATTCATGTAAAGAGGACCCAAAAGGACGGCCCTAGAGCAGACCTTCTTTGCCCGAAAGCAATTGCTTCCTATTCACTTAGCATAGGCGGAGTAGATCTATTCGATCATTTTAGATAATCGTATCCTATAAGCTGCAAATCGAGAAAATACTGGATGAGACTTTTATTCGATGCATCAATCATAAATGCATACATTACCTACAACAACACACATGTTGCAACGGTGCAAGGACACCGAGAATTTAGGTTAAGCTTAGCACGTGCCCTAATAGTTAATCACACAACGAAGCGAACGCAAGCTAAAAACCTTTCAATATGGATACTACTGCTGGTGAAGCCGCTCAAGTGATAGCGCTACTGCAGTCAGGGATGCGACAGTGTGATATCGCTAGGCAACTAAATCTATTCCGTTTTTCCGTTCGACGAGTATTCCAACGGTTCCAGGACACTGTCGACTATATTAGGAGGTATGGACCTGGACGACAGCGCTGCACATCTCAAAGAGACGATTGATTTATTGTATCGACATCTTTACGCAATAGATTCTTGAATGCTGTAGAATTGCAACAGCAGCTACGATCGCAGAACATCTGTAAGTGTCTCTACGATCAGAAGACGGTTAAGAGAAAATAAAATTGAAGCGCATAGGCCTGCAACTGGTCCAAAATTGACCGCACGGCATCTCAGAGATCGATTGCAATTTGCACGCGATCATATTGATTGGGCGATCGAACAATGGAGGAAGGTACTTTTTTCGGATGAGACGAGAGTATGTCTTTTCTTCAATGATAAACGCAGGAAAGTATACAGAAGGCAAGGGTAACGATTTGCACAAGCCTGTACTTAAGAAACAGTTGGATTCAAGGGTGGCTCAAGCATGTTCTTGGGTGGCATGTCACTCGACGCCAAAACCAGCCTTTTCTGCGTTTCCCGGAATGGAGGTGCTCGTGATCAAGGCTGACTGCTCACCGATACATAATGGAAATCCTAGAAGAGCATGTGGTTCTATACGCGGGTTTTATTGAAAATGGATTTACATTAATGCATGACAACGTCCGCTGCCACACTGCGTTAATTGTACATGATTACCTTCAAGAGGTTGGGATCTCTGGTATACGATGGCCGGCGCAAAGTCCAGACATAAACTCGATAGAGCATCTCTGGGATGATGTAAAGCAGCGAGTACGGACTTGTGATCCTGCCCCAACCACACTGCAAGAACTCGAGGAGGCTGTCATTGAGGAATAGGACAACATTCCTCAAAAACGCATTGTGACGTTGATAAGATCAATGAAAGATCGCAAGAAAGCAGTAATTAAGGCCAGGGGTGGTAGCGTTAGATTTTAGGCGTTATAAAACATGTTCCATTCCTCCCCACTGTCATATTTTTAGGACACTATAAACAAAATTTCTTTTTACGTATTAGGACTTTTATTTTTATTATTTCTGATGAAATTCATATTTTTACACTATTTTTCTAATAAAATAAATTTTATTGCAGTAAAAAATGTTTACGTAATTTTAATATAATTTTTTAAAATTGATCATTTTTGTTGACTGAAGGAGAGCATTTAGTTCCGATTGTATATACCATAAAAGAAAAACGTTACCTACTTCAAAGTACAGAAGACTTATTCTTAGATCTCTACCGAATATAAAACAAAAACAAAAAACAATTTGTGAACTTGTGATATACATTCAAAATAAGCCGTCCTATAAATATAACACCGGAAATCTGTCTGTACAATTTGCCGCGAAAGCGTGTTCGATCCTGTCACGCTAAGTACAAGTTCAAACTGGGCAATTGCTTGTTTTTTGCAGGTCTTGCTTGTGTTTAGATTAGTCGATAAGTCTACGCCAAACATATTACATCTCGTCACACGAAACGGTTGTGATTATTTATCGACCTAGAGTAAAAAACGTGAATGGTTTACAAGGTTGAGAAATTATAGGTAAGTAAAAATATTTTATTTTTGTTCTTTCTCTAATTGTAATCAATATACCTGTCTATATGATTATAAGTATTCGTGTGGCTATATATTTATATTTTCTATTTTTTATTATTTATAGATCATGGATCCAGTGTAAAAAAAAGTATAAAAAGCTTTGAAGGTGTCCGAAATCGTAGACTATCTTTGTTTACGACCTACCGTCACTTTATTTTATATTTTTGTTCACGCGATTTGTAATATGCATTGTCATTGTGTCATCTTAGCGTCTGAGTATAGATCACATCTAACGTAAAAATTTGTGTTGTAATTAATATAAACCTGTGCTAAAGAAAGTAATGTGTACTTAAATTGCTCATTGTTAACATTCAAGTTGAAGGAAATAAACCGAAAGTTCATATGTATGCAGTTTTATCATTTCACAATTTCAATTGGTGTTAACAAAAAAAACGTAGATGAAAGCCATCAGCGATACATAAAGAGGGAGTTGTAATCAATCTTCAAGATATTGAAGATTCTAGTGATGAGGAGTTGAATGACATTGAAGTTGTCATATAGCCGCCGGATGAGGTAGATGAAATGACTGACATAGAAGAAGGTCATGACGACGATATGGGAGTTTTGCCAGTGTCTGATGTAGCTGGTAAAGTGGAATTTTCGTGCACGATTGATAACGTCGCGGAAAATCATCCTACTCAAACCACATCTCGGCCAAGCAATACAGTCACTTGGCGTAAGTGTGAATCAGTATATTCTGAAATACAGCCGGAATCTAATACTGCTAAACAATGTTTGGAAAATATGATTACGGAGTTGGAAGGAAAATCAGCGGTAGAAATATTCGAAAACTTGTTGTGTGACGAGATTCTAGAATATATTGAGCACGAAACTGTAACCTCCGCCAAACATTATAAAAATAATTTGAACTTCAATCTAACTATAAATGAGTTAAGTATTTATAGGAATTTTGTTTTTCTCTTCGTATCATCATTTGCCGCAAAGTAAACTTTATTGGTGTAGAGATGAGGATGTACATATTCCATTTGTTGAATAAGCAATGTCCCGTAATCGTTTTGATAAAATTAAATCCTATTTACATTTCAATGACAACTCACATATTTATAATAATGACAAAGCTTTCATAATTCACCCACTTATCGAAAAAGCTAATGAATCATTCCGAAAGTTTGGTATATTTGAATCCAATTTAGCTGTTGATTAAATGATCGTCAAATACTTCGGTCACCATAGAATCAAACAATTTATAAAAGGTAAACCAGTAAGGTTCGGATATAAGCTTTGGGCACTGTGTGGAGTCAGCGGATATTGTTACAACTTTTCGCGCTACACGGGCAAGGATGCTCAAACCTCTGCTAGTAGTAACGATGGCTTGGGTGCAACAGTGGTAAAGAAGTTGCTTGCAGTTTGTACAGATCCCAAAGCACATGTAGTCTACTTCGATAACGTTTTCAGCAGCATGCAATTGTTGATTGATTTGAAATCTCAAGGATTCAGAGCTACAGGGACAGTCAGAGAAAATAGGACTAAAAATGTCCTATTATGACCAAACAGGAGATAAAAAGAAAGACCGAGGTTTTTCCGATTATCGTTTTGATAAAAATAATGAAATTTTGTGCGCGAAATGGCATGACAACAATGTTGTTTGTTTTTTGACTAATTTTGATTCTGTTGAACCTTTGGTAAAAACGAATAGGTACTCAAAGAAAGAAAAGGCCAAAGTAGCCGCGAATTAGGCAATTCTTATTCATAATTATAATAAAATTATGGGAGGAGTGGCTAAACATGATTGGCTGATTTCTAAATATCCAATCTGCTTTAGAGGTAAAAAATGGTATTGGCCTTTAATCATCCGTGTTTTAGACTTGTCCCTTGTGAATGTATGGATTATCTACAACCACATAAATAAAGATGAGACCATCCCTCTCCTAGATTTCAGACGAAGGGTTTGTTTGCTTTGATTAAAAATTTGAAAGGCAAGGCAAGTAAACCGACACTCGGTTCTTCAGAAGTTCTTTTACAACCTGTCAGGTTTGATAATGTTGGTCACTATATGACAAAGAGGGACAAACAGAGGCGTTGTCAAGGACAAGGTTGTAAGAAAAAACCTCTAACCTTTTGTGCTAAATGTGAAAAAACACTTTGCAGTGATTGTTTCATACCTTATCATACAAAATAAGCTCATAATATTTTATTTTTAAGACTGTTTGTGGACATAATTTTCAAATAAAGCAGATTTTCTTATAATTGTTAACTTGTATTATTTCTAATCACATGTCCCCATTGTCATATTTATAGGACAGGCTGAAACAGGGATGAAGGTGTATTTTTATTATTTTTTTGTCATACTCTTTTTTTTCTTAATGTATTATGAACTTAATTTAAAGAATTGATCAAAACATTCCAATGTTTTCGAAGCTTGAGAAGTAATGGGTTAATTTTGTAAGTTGCAATAAATCGTAATTTTGTTCTTGTTGACATTAACTTTTTTTATTTCTCAGTAAAAACCATTAACTATTTTTCTAATGAGTAAATTTAATTACCTTTCCAATGATATAACATACTCATAGACTTACCATTGATTAAACGGATTTAAAAGTAGTTTGAAGTAGAAATTTAAAGAGGTGCAATTTTTGTGACGCCGAGAGCACTTACGAGGGTGCGTTTTTAAGTTCGCGGAATGGATAGGTAGGTAATAAGTGAGGACTTTTTTGAATTACGTGCTAATTGAGCAACTCTTTATCAGTATAAATACCGGGTATATATTTTTTATTAATTTATTTTAATTACATCATTAGTCTTTGAGGTATCGTCAACCAAACAAATCAATCGGGAAGAAATTGCGAAATATGGAGAAAATCGAGTTCCGTGCCGTTATATATATATAAGTTCCTTACCAAGCGCGGAAAATTAGTTCAGACTATAATGGAAGAGATGTCATCCGTTTACGGAGAGTCTTGTCCAAGTAAAACTATGGTTTACAAGTGGCATACCCTTTTTAAACAAGGCAGAGAGTCACTTGAAGATGTCCCACGGCCAGCAAAGGCTGATCGAGGTGACCACTTTGGAAATTATTCAAAAAGTCGAAAAATTTATATTAGAAGATGCCCGCCTAAAGAAAAAACAGCTCGCAGAAATGGTTGGAGTTTCAGATACAACCGTTTTCAAAATTCTTCATGACCATCTTGGCATGACTAAAAGTAATCGCAAGATGGGTGCGTAGAATGCTCACACCGCCTCAAAAGCAACAGCGCGTGGAGTGTTCTCGTGCATTTTTGGACCTCTGTATGGAAGACAAAGATGGAGTGTTGGCTCGAATTGTTACTGGTGACGAAACTTAATGTGTAATTACAATGGCGGTGGGCGGGCAACGGGAGCGGGTCACGCAGAAAACGCACATTTTTATGGATGAACACAGTAGCAACGGGGCGATCGAGCGGTCCGGACGTACCAACCTCGTGCGATAGTCAGATTATTTGGAAGCTAGTGCTTATATAAAGTGGGACCTATTTTTCTAAAAGCAATCGCCATAATATCAATAGTGATCGATATAGACATGGAGAATTTTATAGTTTATGCGAAAGGCTGCGAAATCATGAATATAAATTTTATGATTAGACTCGAATGACAATAACAACTTTTGATTACATATTAAATGGCGTAAAAACACAGTTATCGACAACATCAACTGACTTTGTTCTATTAACCATATCTCCAGAGCAGAAACTTTTATGAACTTTGAGGTAAGAAATCAAAACTTAATAATAATAATTAAACTTTTATTTAATAAGAATCAACAAAAACAGAAATGAAAAAGAATCAGTAATTATTCAAATTATCTTGCGGTACACTATGACAACCACATTGTGTCATATACGGATCTGTAAAACTTTCTTGTTGCAGCTCGGCCATAATAATGGAGTTTATTTTGTTTCTATTTCTTTTGAATCCCTTTGAACTGTTCAAGTTGTGGGAGTAAGCTCATCAAATAATGATAATCGTCTGATTTTGGCGCTCCTTGTGTGGTATTCCAATATTTGGTCCAACTAGGTAACATACGAGAGTTCGTATATTAAACAAATTTAATATGTATTATTAACACAAATAAGTACAATTCACAAGCAACATAGTTAATAAGAGCCGTATTAGACTTAAATTGAAAAGAAGTAGAAAACATGATTTAGTACACTACCGCACCACAGCTAAACCGCCGCGGATTTTAACCGCCTGATTTTGTGAGTAAAGGAAACTAATGGAAGCGGCCGCACTGACTTTTTGGTACCATCATTACAAAAAAGGGAGACTAGCAGCAATATCAAATCTACTACAAAAGATTGTCCTGATGTTGTTATAACAAAAAATACTTCACCAATGACTACTAATATTCGAACCCTACCCGTTAAGAAGAAGATTCCTAAAAGCCAAATTAACAATGATGATTATGAACAACTGTTAAATTTTTTACCATGACTACGACTCAGAAGAGATGTGAATGCGATGAAGACATAAATTTTTCACAAAGGATGGTACCAATGTTACGAAAATTGAATGATGACCAGAAGCATTTTGCAAATTTTGAAATTATGAATATTTTTAGCCAAATATTTGTATCCACTATTCGAATCAAAAATTCATGATCAAAGATCTAGATCTTGTATGTCATTCACGCCAACGCCGTCTCCACGATCGTATTATACACATTCTTTATCCCCATCGCCGAACACGCATATGTCAGTCCAGTCATCAGTTTCAGCACGAGCGCCTGCTATGCCTTCAATACCTCAGAAGCCAAAGATTATTTCTGAACAGATAATATCGACTGGGCAACAAAATAATGGACAGTTTGTTACGGGACCTGCAAAAGAAATAATCTATTTACCCACTTAATACTTCAGCTCCATCCACATCACAATCACCCACGAATTCCGTTCGAGTACTTGATCATCCATAATTGTTACAATATGTAGACATTAATAAACAGGAACCCTCAGCTGCAAACTATCTGTCACAATGTCAGGAACAATAAATGCTTACGTGTATATTTGTCCATAATACAAAAATGAATCGCTGAATGTGTTTCTAAGCGTTTACACTTAGATGTAGAGATTTATCTCGAGAGCAGCTGAACCGATTTCGCTAATTGTTTTTTTTAAATATTCCTTGAAGAACGAAGATAGTTCTTACGGAGAGAAAAATTTCAAAAATTACCTGAAAAAATCTAAAAACAAAACTTTTCTATATTCCCATACTAAAGATTCGCAAGCGCAAGAGGGACTCCTAAGATCGTCCATGTGGATCGCCTGGCGCGTTATTATGGGGCCGATAATGCTCGGGACGAGCATGTCTTAGGAGGGAGCAGTGTTGCGCGGCTAAGTTGACATCTGTCACTAGCGCCATCTAGTGTCGGGTAACGGAGCGAGGGGAGAGCTTTCCAGAAAATGACATCACTAATCTTTCAACCGACAGCGCCATCTGTTGTCGAAAGGAAGAACTAAGCTTCTGGAAGCTGACTCTCGAACTTTCGGCGCTTTGTCGATTGGAGCGCGTATTTACTTGAACGTTCTGTATGATTCGGTACTAATGTGTATTTATGGGCCGAAACACATAAGCGCGTTGCGGCGCCGCGCCGCTGAAATCGGCAGTGCGCTATAGCGGTGCGGCGCCGCAACGCACGACGTGAATTCCAGCGTTATGACGTCATACTTGTTGACAAGGATGCAGTTTGTTTCTAACACTCTTGCAAACAACACGTGTCAACCGAGAAGCAGTTTTAAAATTAAAATGTCTGACGTTGACGTCGATCTGTTTATATCTTCGGTTCAGGAACACCGTTGTTTGTGGGATACTAGTGACGAAACCTATAAAGACAAATTTATAAAACAAGAAGCATGGAAAAGCATTTGTGAGATCGTTTATATTGATTACAAGGAAAAAAACTCAACCGAAAAATCAAAACTGGGTAAGTAGTAACATATAGTCTTAGGCAATGATATTTTAAACTAAAGATAAGTTACGTTCATAGTAATTTACGTTTTAAATCTGTTCCTGTGTTTAAATCATTACCTCCCAGGCAATCCAAAACTGCACACATTTGCAAGTTTTACTGATAAGCAAACCAAAAGATATGAAATAAAACGCAATTGAAAGAGATAGCTATAATTTTAATGGTTGCACTTCAAACGTTTCTTGTGCATAGAGTAACATTTATAGTCGTAGAGTGGACACTTGATTCAAAACTATTCAAAAGTACATAGATAAGAAATAAAACATCTTACAAAAGTAAAAATAATAAGGTATTATTTGTATTTTGAACTGAGTAGGTATACGAACATTCATATTTTCTTTAATTGCCAACTTAGGGCGCCAACATCACTGGAAAAGTAATTACAAAAATCATTCCGTATTAGATGTGGGCTTAAATTATTTTCATTTGCTGTGGGCAAATGCAACATTTGCAGATCAGAATCATCAAAGATAATGTCATCGGTCGCTTGTACTCCATCTCGATTCAAAACAAAGTTGTGCATTACACAACATGCCTTGATAATGTCTGTCGCAAATTCGTATTGCACATTCATAGATCGATGAAATATGCGCCATTTATTGGCTAGGATGCCAAAAGCGCACTCGACATATCTTCGGGCACGACTCAGTCGATAATTGTAAACTCTTTGTTGTACCGACAAATGTTTTCCTGAGTAAGGGCGCATGACGTTATTCGAAATTGAGAATGCTTCATCTCCTACAAAAACAAATGGAGTTTCATTTTGAGAACCTGGTAAAGGCTTTGGTACAGGAATAGGTAATTTGCGTGTCATAATCAAATCATAAAGTTTAGAGTTCTGGAAAACGGTGGAGTCACTTTCCTTGCCATACGCTCCTATATCGACAAAAATGAATCTATATCTAGAATCTACAAGAGCTAATAAAACTATTGAATTATAGCCCTTATAATTGTAAAACAGTGATCCACTGTGCGCAGGACATGTAATACGGACATGTTTACCATCAAGAGCTCCTATGCAGTTAGGAAAATTTGCTTTCTTGTCAAACTCAATAGCGACATCTTCTAGAACCTGTTTTGTTATAGGAGGTATATTTTGACTTGATAGATGTTTCCATATGGCGCGACAAACTGTCCTTACAATTTTTGCTATTGTACTTGCTCCTCGGAAGTAATTCGTATGCATGGTTTTAAAGTCACTGCCGGTTGCTAGAAATCTAAAATGAAATAATAATTAGTAGGCAAATAATAAAATAATACAAATGTAGGTATAATCAAACTCAAACCGCGCAGGTAATAGTGTTGCTAAAGGAATAGATTTTCAAAGATAGACAGGTAGTTTTTCAAAGAAGTACTCAATAAATATTTTACATTATGGTTGTTCTAGGCAAAGTCAATCAGTTTTTAACTTGCCTAAGTCAAGAAAAAGCAGAAAATTATTCTTTTTCGGCGGCCAGCCATTTATATGAAATTGGATGGACCGAAAGTACTTATGAAAGTTATATCAAATTTTATATGTAGTATAAATGGAATCTAGGGAATTTTAGTCTTTATTACTATTTTTCACTTGTGAAGTTTTTTGTTGCAGGTAATGATTTAGTCAAGAAGTGGAAGGCCATAAAAGATAATTTTGCTAAATATCAAAAAAAACTAAAAGATGCCAATCGATCAGGAGCTGGAGCTGCAAAAATTAAAGAATATCACTTGAATAAACAATTACAGTTTTTGAAAAAGGTTTCACAAAATGCAACTGATTCCAGTTTATGCGTAGCGGAAGGAGATATTGAGAATGAAATAACGGCATTGCCTCGTTATAAAAGTCAACCACGAAAACGAAAGGCAGATGATAAGGATGATATTGAAGAAGATTTATTGGCAATATTAAAAACACCGGAGAATAGACATTTGCATTTTTTCAAGGGGATTTTACCATCTCTACAATCGTTAAATGAGAATCAAACATTGATATTTCAAAGTCGGGTGCTTCAAATATTAACCGACATTCTTCAACCTTCAATTCATCAAAATACACATCACGGCTATAATCAAGAATATCAGCATCAGGGTTACAATCAAGGATATTCAACTATGAGATACGATAATACGGTTCAGAGTGGCTACCACACTTCTACTCCTGGAAGTTCGATTACTGAACAGAGGACTACCTCATCATCAAACCAACAACGTCCAATAAATTCACCATTTTTACTGGACGAAACGTCAGCTACTTCCTATGTTTCACAAGATGAGGAGTTTGATTTTTCTTAAATTGATCATTACATTTTTTAAGGCCTATTAAAGTATTCTTAAAGTAAGAAAATTGTATAATGCAAAAAGCTTAATTTGATTCTGTCTTGTTTCATTTGAACCTGGCTTTGTACCACTAGGTACCCCCAAACCATGAACACTAGTGATGCAAAATTTTTATCGACACCCCGCTAGTACCACAGGTGTATAAAGCCAGGGGTACAAATAAAACTAAACATTTGATTCCGAGTGCCATAAACATCAATAAAAAAAAATAAGAAACCTATTTGTTTTACCTTAAAGTTAAGCCCAGCATTTCCAAAGCAGTAACTGGTTTTCTTCCTTTATTTTTTTTCTTCTGTATATATTTTGATAACTCGCTTAATAGCTCTTCAAATGATGATATACTCATTCTAAAGTAGGCAACAAATTTTTTTTCGTCTATCTTTAATGCTTCGTATTTTTTAGAAAAGAACTCGCCATTTGGATTCATACCCTTACTTAATGGATGTATCCAGTATCTTCTTTGCCGTATTTTTAAGATAGAATAATGTCTTCTTAATAACAAATAAGCAATAAGTTTATTACGATCCATCGCAGAGAGACGTCTATCCACACTCAAAAATCACGAGAATGGTTGCCCTACCATAATGCCCTGTTTCGCGACGCCGCAACGCGGCAACGCAACTGCCGATTTTGGCGTTGCGGCGCCGCAAAAATAAGCAGTTTGCGTTATGTGTTTCGGCCCTATAGGCGCTGCAAGGTGCAATCGGGGAATTATTGAATTCGGCGTGACAAGCAAAGCTTCGGAGCGGAATAAAGTGAATCAGTGTGATTAATTATTAGTGTGTTAAGTTTAAATTTGTGTAAAGAAAATTAAAGTGTTAATTTAGGTAATTTTATCGGCAATTTTTATTGTCACGAACCTCAAGCTCGTAACAGTACAAAGTGGAATTCATATTGGTTGGTTCAGAGATAAAAGGTATATTCCCTATTTTTTAATGAACTTGATAATGAAATGGTGTTAGTTGAAAGGAAGAGCGGAAATCGTCAAAAGAAAACCAAAGGTTCTGGCAGAAAACTTCTTACAAGGAAAAAAATTCAACTCCGATGCGGCAGTCCAAACCGCCTACAAAGAGTTTATTGATTCTCGCTCCCGTGGTTTTTCTAGTAAAGGTATCAATGAAATACCTATAAGATGGCAAAAGTGCATAGATAGCAACGGTGCATACTTGGATTAACTAAATATATTTAACAAAAAAAATTGATTTTATATTCCTCCCGTACAAAACGAAAATTTCATATGTAAGGACCTATTATTAAAGCATTGTAAACATGATTTGAAGACAATTCTTTTAAAATTAAGATCGCGGATTGCGTTTTATTTTTCAATTGAAATTATGTTTTAATTCTGAAATAGCATGTTGTTTTTATAACTTTATTAGGTATTTTAAGTGGATTAAAACCAAAGTAAAGGTTCCTATAAATTATGTGCTTGTAATGCCTACTGAAATAAAAATATTATTTTATAGTAAAATGCTGTTTTATTTACTCTTAAATAAAGAATTTAAAACTCCTCGCAGGGTCCTAAGGCATCAAACATAAAAGTAAAATATAGCAGCGCCGTACGATTCCGCGGGGAGTTATCCGTGCGGAGTCGTCGACCTTCGACTTCGCGCGTGTATGGTACATTAGAATAGGGTAAATTAATAGTACTTTACCTTTTATATACAAATATACCATAAAATACACACATGAAAAAATTTAATTTAAAAAAAATTGATTCGTGGGTGAGAATTTTTCAGTTGCCCTGCCCCTTCCTTCAAGCGGAATGGTTGCGCGGAAAACCATTCGTATTTGTTTTATTTGACGATAGGCTGCCAAATCGGTTATCCCTTTCCAAAACGATATCATTCATACCCTCCTATCGACACATCGGGGTGGTGGGGTGGGAGGGGAAAGAAGATGATTCTAGAACATCACGTAATCATCGGAACCGAGGATATAAAGGGCACGCGCGACCGACGCGCGCTCTCTTCCCGCCGCGCTCGTCGTTGAAACCACATCGCTAATAGAAAACCGCTTTAGCCTGGCAGTCGAGCTCCAGGAAGCCCGCCTCACCTCGTGTGAGATATAGTCGCGCACCGCCTCTCTCCGGAGTGTTCCAGAAGTCGCAGTTATAGTGCTCGACCGCATAGAAGAAACATCCCGGTGAGTCAATATCCAATAGTATTTTCCTGCTTGATATAGTTGTTTTAACCCGCTCCAATTTTGTGTTTTCCTAATCAAGCAGGATTCCTTTCATCGATTTGGCAAATAATAGTTCGTTTTTTAGGGAAGAGCGAGTGCATTGTACCGCATATATAAGTGTAGAATCATTTAGTAGATACAGTCCACTTAGATTAATATCTCGCGTAATAGGTTTAAGGTTCGACCGGGGAACTAGACTTCGGCAGCCTTAAACACGTGGCTCCACCATTTTATGGTCACTTCGGCAGGATTTGGATTGGTGTTTGGTGGTCCTCCAACCATTTTCTGGTCGAATTATTAAATTAATTATTTAGATAATGCACTCTAATCTATGGAATAGACTTAAATAGTGTTCGTTTAAATTTAAATTTTGATTAGGTACTCGCAAACAGAATTATTTATTTTATAGCGCTCGTATTTGGTTAAATTTAAAGCTTATTAAATAATTGAAACAGTGTGATAGCAACCGTTTGGTACGCTTACCCGACAATCTTTATAAAAACATTGAGTTAGCAAGCAACGCGTCGCCTCGACTGTAACAGGTGTTCGATTTAATTACGTAGTACGGCATACCGAGTGTCCATCGTCCATCGTTGTGCGTTGTGAGATTAATTGTGATTAATAACTTTGTTATAACAATTTAAAATGGCAGTTAGTGAAAGTGAATTTAAAATTAAAACGCTTTATGCCAAGAGGGACGTACTTTTTTCACGTATACAAAACATTAGCGATCATATAAAGAACATTAATGTAGAAGCGGTGCGGGAAACTTTTCTGAATGAAATTGAAACGGTGGATTCTTTGCGGACGGATTACGAAAGAATATTAGACCAAATGGAGCCGTGGTAGCTCAGTGGTTAACGCTCGCTGTAAATATAACAGAACGCGAGTAACCCGGGTTCGATCCCCGCCGGCACCAATGAAATTGTTAATTGCAATTTTAAGTGCTGATTTACCACGTGCTCGGCGGTGAAGGAAAACATCGTGAGGAAACCTGCATGTCTGAGGAATAAAAAAAAAAATATTTCGAAGACATGTGAAGTTCGTCAACACGCATTTGGGCAGCGCGGCGGACACTTCCTTGCCCTAAAACCCTCTCAGAAATGAGGGGGAGGCCTGAGCCCAGCAGTGGGACGTATATAGGCTGTAACTTTACTAACTTTATTAGACCAAATTAATCATTTGGAATTACAAATCGACCCGAAATACATAGTGAACTACCAACCGCTGCTGGCATTCGAAGATACGTTGTGTCGCGTGAAAAGAACGGCAAAACTCCTACAATCTCAAAGCGAAGCAAAGCCGGAATTGCAGGTACGTCCTCGTGACTCAATTAGGTTGCCGCCAATAGATATTCCGGTATTCAATGGTGATATTAAGACGTGGCCCTTCTTCTTCAGTAGTTTTCAAAACAATATACACAATAACCCATCGTTATCGGATGCTGAAAAATTATATTACTTAATTAGTGAACTTAGTGGCAGGGCACAGTCGATCTGCTCTGGTTTTACACCTACAGCAAACAATTACTTATTAATATTCGAAACTCTTAAAACTAAATATGAAGATAGGAGAATGTTAGCTTCCGAATATTTGAACCAGATATTCGATCTTAAACCTATATCATCCGCGAACATCAACGGCTTATAGCAGTTTCTAGATAAAGAATCATGTCCAATTCTGACCTGAAAATTTTCGAAAGCGTCTAGTGATGTAAAATATCTTATAAAATTGCTCTTTTTTTGCTTATTTCGAATCGCATAATTGAATTTTCTAATAAAGCCAGGAAAAAGAGTAATGTTAATATGTTTATCACTTTCAATAGACTTTTGGAGACGGAACGAGTTCTACAATGACTTAAAGGCCCAGAAGCCATGCCAAAACATATTTAAAAAAACGTGTTTGTCAATGACAGTCCGTCATTTGTTTGAAGTTTTGCAGTCGTTCGTTAGCTTTCCCTACGTTTTGTACTGTGCGATTTTGGATTTTCTGATACCCTTACAACTTGCATTTTCCACGGACTTCGATACCTTCCACTCACGATTACTTTGGCCTGTGTAATACGGATACCGATTTAGCTTTTTGATTGGGATCTAAGACGTTATCGTACTTGTTGGAAAGCGTTATGGAGCCTTCTACGAGAATGCTATGTATAAACTGTAACATATGTATTAATACGCTTCAGCGTTATCGGGCCCTTCAGCTTGATAGCAGAGTCATCTCGCTAATTAGCACTTGGATATCTCCAGTAATAGTAAGTAGTAATAACATACAACATATAACATATAACATACAACAATACAATAGTAGTAGTAAGATTTTACCCATGTTTAGCTAAAGTGTCCTTTAGGACAGTTGTCTAAAATAAAAAATAAAACATGTAAAAATACAAATTAAATGTGCCTATTTCAATTTATGCTTTATAATCTCATAATTGATTTATTTTTCAGATTACGGAAGAGGACTACATTTGTGAAGCGTGCTTTGATGTATCCATGCAGTCTATTAATGCTCAAATTCATGGAAACAATGAGTGTCATCCATCTGCTTGTTCATCTCGCCTTGGTCATACTCAAGTGTGCCCCGTTTGTGGTCGATCATTGCTCAATCGTCAAAGTGACCATATTCACAAAGAAAACCCATCAAGCCTCACACTAAGAATGATCAACTTAATTCGAGCTACTGTAGCACCTCGTCAGGTTTGTATTTAAATATTCAATCTCATTTTAAACTGCATGCAATTTTTTCATTAAACTTCACATTCTAATCTATAACATTACTAGGTATGTCACTGCATTTATTACAAATATGTTGTTTTTTTGTTGACAGATATCACAATATGATCGTGTATGTCATGCCTGTTGGTTGAGGTTTAAAAGACAAGCTCTTTTAACTCAACAACAGGATGAAAGAAGAGGCTTAGAAGGTGATGAGACTCCTCACGGTCAAGAAGAAGTGGAACAGCCTGTTGATGCAGTTCATGTTCCAGAATTACAACCTCCCCCGTTTCTTGCAAGTACAGATGAAAGGGATTCGTCTGTAGAATCAGTTGCAGCTCCAGAGGTTCATTCGCTACAATCTCAAACCCAACAATCAAGTAACATTACATTACATAATTATAAACGTGCTCCCAATACAGCATCTCATTGTGCATTTTATGGGTGTGAAAATGAAAATCTGCATACTGTGTCAGATGCACTGCGGGCTACCATTTTGTGCAACTACAATTTTTATATTCCCAAACTGGCAAGAGTATGCACATACCATTTACATGGAAACAGTTGGAGTTCCCTTTATACCAGTGAAAACAGCATGAGCGATTTCACTGTTGAACAAGTTGAGCATGTTTTTTCCTTTGTTCAAAAATACAAGCATTTTCTCGATTTTTCAAGCATAGAATCATTACAAGAAATTGACGACAATTTATTTGAATTTTGGATTGGCTTGTCAAAATTGAAATTCCTTAATTTGTTAGAAGACCTTCCCCGACTGTTGGAAAAACATAGGGGTGTATTAGGTCTAGCTGCTGTATTGATAAAGATGCGGACAGGTGATTCCGACTTAAGAATATCAACATTGCTAGAAGTTCCTCGTACTACACTAGAGAGGTTAATGCAAACAGCACGAGAGGTACTGCTACAGGATTTTGTTCCATGTAACCTTGGAATAAATCACTTGCCGAGAGAACAATTAATAGAACACAATCTAATCATTCCGAATGGAATTTACAATGAAAATAATAAACAATGTATTGTGATGTGTGATGGAACATACATTTTTTTAAATAAAAGTGGCAATTATATGTTTCAAAAAGACACATATTCTTTACACAAATATAGAAATCTGTTAAAGCCATTTTTAACCCATATAGGCCTACCGTACCCTATGTGGTACAGTTACTTTGTAAAAATATTTTGATGTACCCACAAATTATTAACTTTTTTGGTTAGTTGTGGCAGATAACTCAGAGTATTAGTTTTATATCAACAATATAACATACACATTTTATGCGAGTTATTATCAGTTTATATTAAAATTGCTAGACAGAAACGGAAAAAAACAATTTACAATGTCTTCAAGAAGGTAAGTTTCATGTTATCTATAGTAAATCATATTATTTGTTGGTATTATTTTAAATACTAGGCTACAATAGACGTAATAGCTACAAATAAGTTTCACTTGGGTCATTTTAGTAAGGTGTACACAGTGCTAGATTAGGTGTATCATATATGGTACAGTAGGTCTATGTATGAGCACAAAATACCTAAGTCAATTTACATATTATTATATTAGCTTTTTATTTATCTTTTTTGTGTTTTATTGTTTTAGGTCATTGACATTACATGAAATTGCTACAGTTCTTGAGGAAGATGATGATTTTAGCAACCAGAGACAAGATTTTGATATTTTTTTACTTCCACCTGACACCGCCAATGATTACCAAACTGACGAGGACTCGGGTGAAGAAGATAACGTCAGCATAAATAATTTGCCTGGAAGTTTGCTTCGAGCTCCAGCGGAGCTTGCTGCCTCAACCTCAATGGAAAAACCAGAAACTGAGGACCAAACCCCTCCCGAATTTCAAGAACCTTTAAAAAAACGTGTCATGAATTACAATTGGCGAAAACGAGACTTGCAGCTAAGACCTATTGTTTGGAAACCCCTTTATCATACTCCTATTGAAAGAAGCCCGATAGAATGGTTTTCTTTATTATTTTCAGAAGAAGTATTTGAGATGCTTACTATTGAAACCAATAGATACTTAGCACGTAAGCTTCTCTCTGCTGACGTCAAGATTGAAGAGATGAAATGTTTGGTAGGGATTTTGTTAGTCAGTGGCTACTGCCAAGTGAGCAGAAGAAGAATGTACTGGGAAAATGCATCTGACTCAAGAAATAGTTTGATTGCTTCAGCCTTGTCTCGAGATAGATTTACACTAATTTACTCTAATATTCATGTTGCTGATAATCTAAATTTAGATACATCCGATAAATTTGCAAAAGTTCGTCCTTTATTAAAAGTTTTAACTATGAGGTTTCTTGAGCACTGTCCACATAAGGAGAATCATAGTGTTGATGAGGCTATGGTCCCATATTTTGGTCATCACGGCTGCAAACAGTTTATTAGAGGCAAGCCTATAAGATATGGATACAAATTATGGGTTGGTGCAACATCAGGAGGTTACATTGCATGGTTTGAACCATACCAAGGTGCTTCTACATTTACGAATGCCCAATATTCCCAGCTTGGTCTTGGTGCAAGTGTGGTTTTGTCTTATGCAGATCAACTAGCAACATTAGGCTATGGAAAAAACTACCATCTCTTCATAGATAACTTTTTTACCGGTTTGCCTTTGGTTCAAGAACTTACTGAGAGGGGATTTCGTGTAACTGGTACTATCAGAGAAAATAGATCTGGAAAGTGCCCTCTATTAAGTAACAAAGAAGCAAAGACAAAAGAAAGAGGCTTTTATGATTATCGCATATCTGATGATATTATAATTTGCAAGTGGCATGACAATAGTATAGTGTCAGTATGCTCTAATGCAGTTGGTGTTGATCCTGTCCACAAAACTGAACGCTATTCTCAGCAACTAAAAAAGAAAATATCTGTTTCTCAACCTCATCTCATTCAACAATACAATAAAAATATGGGTGGAGTAGATTTATCAGATCAGAATATATCGTCATTGCGAACTAGCATTCGAGGAAAAAAGTGGTATATGCCTCTGATTCTCCATTGTATAGACATGTCTGTACAAAATGCATGGCTGCTGTACAGACATAATGGAGGGAATATCGACTTGCTAAACTTTCGACGTCGTATTGCAAACTATATTATCGATTGTAATAAACAACGCGAAAGGCCAGGTCCTAGTCGACCATCTTCAATAACATCAGACTCTCGATACGACGGCAAAGAACACTATGTCAGCAAGCAGGAAAAGAGGACCAGGTGTGGCCTATGCCACAAACAATGTCCTACAAGATGTGTCAAGTGCAATATCGGTGTCCACGTAGAGTGCTTTATTATGTATCACACCAAAAAGTAAATAAAATCTAATTAGTAAAATCATGTCTTTTTTTGCATACATATAGTCCTACTGTACCATATGTGGTACGTCCCTTCAGTCGCCCCCCCCCCCTCTTATTAATTTTTTTTTAAATATTTTTCCCCCGGTTTTTAGGCTTTCTTGGATCAGGTTTTGTTAATGAAACATGAATTTTTCACAAAAATAATTATCGGTCTAAATGGGTTAATAGTTGCCTGTGACGGTTACATTTTAGATTGTTTTGGCCCATACAAAGCTACCACATCTGATGCCGATATAATGTCTTCTTTGTTCAGCAACGAAAATTCCCCACTGAGACAATACTTTCAAGATAATGACATATTTATTTTAGACAGGGGATTCAGAGACAGCATCAGCTTATTGGAGCATTGTAATTATAAGGCATATATGCCAGAGTCACTTTTGGAAGGTGAACACCAGTTAACCACCACCCAAGCAAATAGAAGTAGATGTGTAACTATTTGCAGATGGGTGGTGGAGGTTGTAAATGGATATTTTAAAAGAGATTTTAGATTATTAAGGTTTGACAATTTTAATAAAACTGTACCAAATATGATGGCTTATTTCCAAATTGCTGCAAGTTTAATAAATAAGTTTGGTGTTCGTCTTCGCAATAGAGCTGATGCTGCTCAAATTCTTGGTATAATAAATGAAAGGATGCCCTTGGAAAATAACTTAATTAATATAGTTACAGAATATAATTTAAATCGCCGGGCATCCTTTTTTCAAAGCATTACAGCTGATACTGCTAATATTGAGTTTCCCCGTCTAGAATACAGTGAATTAATATTATTCGCCTTGGGAACGTACCAAATTCGCCAAGCGCGTTCATATTATGGTGAACACGTACGTTTCCATGGCGGATACAGGATAGAAGTTTGTCAGGATACTAATAATATACCTGAGTTAGGCAGTGGGGAAAATTCTCTTATAAAAGGAAAAATAAAGTCTAGACATATCTCAAGACGTCAGTACTATGTGTACATTTTGATTGCAAATGGTGTTGATGGACGAGAAGGCATTGTAGAGTATTGCTGTAACTGCATTGTAGGACGTCGCACTGTAGGTTGTTGTGCGCATATTATGACAATGGTGTGGTACTTGGGTTGGGCCAGGCATGAAACCAATATTGAGCCTCCAGCTGCATTTTTAGATGAAGTGGTCATACGAGAAGACAATGAATAAATAAAAATAAATCAAATCGTGTTTTTTATTTAATTTCCCTGTTCTCGCCAAAAACATGTAGAAAAGGTAGCTCTTTTTGTTATCTATTAATGTTGTGATGGCCCATAGGTTACAACTCGCCTCTTATGCACAGGCTGTGAGTTCAAATTCAGGCAAGTACCAATGTGTGTCTTTCAATGCGTAGGTACGTATTTTCTAAGTTTATCTTACAATGGGGAAGGAAAACATCGTGAGGCAACCTGAACTCAATAATCATATGGTAGAAGTATAATAATCAAAATAAAAGTCTGAAACTGCCAACTCATCTTGACTCTGCTTGGTGATTAATGCTGCTGCTTTCTCTGTATGAAAAGAGGTCTTTTCCCAGCAGTGGGGCCGTATTATTATGCTTATATTAGGTATTATTTACTCTCTTTCTCTGTTCATCAGACTTTTAGAGTTCGATGGCAGAAAGCGTCGCCTGTCAGGACGACTCCTTGAGTCAATCTGTTACGACGACAGATTTTGACCGATAATTAAATGAACTATACGTATATTGTTCTAATTTGCATAAAGTGTAGTCTAAAAATCAACATAGGCGAGATATTACGAAAACGTAATTGCTATTTGTGACCGCGCACAGATGATAATATTACATTGAAGAGGGATTTATTTCTGAGTGATTGTAACTCTCTCGGCGATTAAGAAACAATAACAGAGTACTTTTTGTATACCTGAAAGAAACAATTTGATTATAAACGTATAGTTTTTGAGGTTGCGACAGCTGTCAAATAAGGTTTGACAGCTGTCATAACCTGAAAAACTTATTTACTTAATAGCATTTTTCCCTGGCCTCTAAATGAAAAGGTAATAAGTTATTATGTTATTATAAACAATAATTGATTTTATGCAACAGCACTTGTAGGTAGACGCGCCCTGTAAAACAAATCAAGTGACAGGTCAATCAATGTATGGGAAGTGGGCATTCTTCTTTGTGGCATCGGTGGCTGCACTTAAGAATTTAAAATTTAATGACCTTATGGACGTGGTGTTTCTCCATATTGCACTAAAGAAATTAGACCCCGACACCGTGCGTGCTGTTATATCCCTTTTTACAAGACAACAAAATATTAGTAAGCATTTATTTAATCACACGGTACTTCTCCTTAATATAGCTATAGTCAGCAATTATATTGTTATATTGTTCTTTTGTTGTATTGTTCTTTTGTTATATCCCTTTTTACAAAGCAATAAAATATTAGTAAGCATTCATTGAATCACACGGTACTTTTCCTTAATATAGCTATAGTCAGCAATTATATTGTTATATATTGTTTCTTTCCATTTTTAATGTTCAGTTAGACTCAGAGCCCCGGGTAGATCGGACATAGATTCCGAGACTTATTAGAGTTCGGAAGTCAAGGACTATATTAATTTGGTGTGAACTTTTTTTTTTGCAATAAACCTTTAGGTTTATTTGGTGTTTCTTTTTTAAAAAGTCAAACGGGATCAGCCTCCTATTAAATTGGTGTCAGAAGTGGGATGCCAAACAGAAGGTCATAAAAGACTTTGGCATCCGAATCTGAAGTCCCCGCAATCACCAAGGTCGACATTAAGCCTTAGCCGTGCCTAAGCCTGCGCCTACCACAATTTGGACGACGATCAGCCTCCGCTCTGAAGCGTGAGCCCGCTCCATTCACATCTGGTCCTGAAATCACCCGTCTGGCCGACGATCAGCCTCCACCAGGAGCCCGCACCAGCTGGGTCTAACTCACCAACATAAAAACATTTTCTGAAGAATATTCTACATCTTTCATTCCTACCATTTCCCACGACGCGACGAAGTCACCGTGTCAGCGATTCCGCCCGCCAGCCGCCACGAGTGTAACGTGTCACCGAGCCATTGTTACGAGTAAATGCAACGTATAGAAGTTATTATTTTCCTGTAAGTCGTTTTGTTTTGTAAATTAAATTTATAAAATTTACCTTTATTTTACACTGTTTTGTACTATAACCTTTTTACTTCATTTTATTGTGATTATCTTATATAACTTCAAATTTTAATTTTATTTCTATGTCGCTTAAAGCAGAAAAAAGTAAAGACAATATGTCAGAAAAAAATCACACTTTCGTTTTTGACGAAATTTATAAAATCTTATAATGGGGAGAAGGAATCTCTCCCCGCTTTTCTTACCAACTGTGATAATGCAATGTCGTTAGCTACGGCAGAACAACAGCCTATTTTGTGCAAATTTATTATCTCACAGCTAGAGGGAAAAGCTCAGGTCGCATGTAGTTTAAAAAGTTTTGAAACGTGGAACCAAATAAAGTCATTTCTTCGTTCTACTTTTGGGGAGAAAAAACACTCAACACATTTATTATCAGATTTGCAAAATTGCAAACAGTCTTCTGACGACGTTACTAAATTTTCTTTAAGATTAGAACAAATTTTAACAAAAATTCAGTCAGATATACACTATAGCTGCAAAATTCCTGACGAACTTCCAGGTAGAATAGCCGCCATGGAGGACCTAGCATTAAACACATTTTTATTAGGGTTAAACCCTGCTATTTCTACTATTGTTAGGTGTAGAAATCCTCAAACTTTAAACGAAGCTGTTCAATTAGCCATAGATGAAGAAAAATTACAGAATCTTCAAATGTGTTCAAAAAATTCAATGAAGCAGTGTAATATATGTAATAAAGTAGGTCATGTCGCTACGCAATGTTTCAAAAATAAGAACCATTCTAATTTTAAACACAATAAACAAATTTCTCATTTATCTAGTTCTAATTCTGATAAATTAATTTGCAACTATTGCAAAAACATAGGGCACACTATTGATCAATGTAGAAAGCGACAATATAATATGCAACATCGTCAAAATTTTAGTAAAAATTTTAATCGTAACCCTAATACTAGTTCTAACTATATAAATCGTAGCTCAAATAATAATTCTAATTTTGTAAGCCGTAACCCTAACCCTAATTCTAGTTCTAACTCTGTGCCTATGCACATGACATGTAATAACGACGACACTATCGATAATTCTAACTCTTTAAACTAAATAAGATTTCGGATACGTGTCTGCCGAAATCGTACTGTGGTAATGACACGAAAACAATTAATAATACTATTTCTACTAACTTTTACAAAAATAATGCTAAATCTTATTCTAATTCTAATTCATCTCGGCGATGCATTAACAAGCAACCGAGTCATTCTAATTCATTTACATCTCAGCAACCCAAGGAGGTGAAGCTGAGTCTTACTAGTTCTCATGCACCTCAGTTGACCGAAAAGGTACAACCGAGTCTTACTAAGTCGTTTACTATATCTACATCTCAGCAACCCAAGGAGGTGAAGCTGAGTCTTACTAGTTCTCATGCACCTCAGTTGACCGAAAAGGTACAACCGAGTCTTACTAAGTCGTTTACTATATCTACATCTCAGCAGCCCAAAGAGGTTAAGCCGAGTTTTAATGAGTCTTATTCTAATTCTATTCCTATTTTTGAAACGAGCATAAATACATGCAAGGTTTCGTTACCATACACGAATTTATTAACAAAATATTCTCCTAAGTGTCTCAAACTTCTTATCGATACCGGTGCAAGCGTTTGTGTCATAAAACACTCATGTTTAAAAACGAAACATGAACTTCTTAAGGACAAGGTAAGAATCAAAGGTATAAATGATACGGATACGTATAGCGAAACAATAGGCTCAATCTACTTGCAATTTTTATTAAGTGATGAAACTTACGAGCACAAATTTTATGTCATTAACGATAGCATAAACCTTAATTACGACGGTA